ATCCCTGTGTTCTTGTCCAAATAAGAGAAAAGATTCATTTCTTGCCTAAATGAAGGCCAACCTTGTGGAGACTCTTCTAGAGATGTTTGGGGGCCACTCTCATAGGACTTTCTCCCTTCTTCAGTTATCAGTCAAGAATTTCATTTCCATTATCTCTCACACAGAAGATATCCAAGGCAAGGACCGTTATCTTCTTGTAGTAAAATGCCTCCAAACCTCTGGGAGCTATTTTCTGAGAGATGATGCTGGTACTTGCTATGTCATCTCTGTCCTATCAGTGTCTCAGAAGGTCAGCATCCAATTTCAGGCTCACAGCCTCTTATCACTGGCCCAGCATCAGAGTGTGCTGGGTTAGAGGCCAACATGACTCCATTACAAATACAACATTAATGAGAGTATGAGAAGCAGTTTTCCATCAGAACAGAGGAAAACTCTTTCCAGTACAGATGGGCATTTTGATCAGGCTATCTTCAGCTCTTCCCAGAATTTTTTTTTCTTTTTTATTTATGCTTTTTTTTTTCTTTTTTTCCCAGCTCTTCCCAGAATTAAGTCACAGTACTAAAAGTCAGCTTATGGTTGAAATTTCATTCCTTCAAAGCGGAATAGAAGCTGAAGGGCTGTATCTTCCACTAAATCTTATAATCAACCATTCCAAAACCTAAACACAAAATTACTATTTATACAGAAAGATTATAGGAGCATTTCCTTTAGATGTTTGGCAGCAGTTAACCAACTTGTTTTCACTCAAAATTTGGAAGGAGTTATTGCAGTGGGATTTGAGGAGTCATATACACTACACAGGAGTCAGGAAAAGCACTGCCTTGTATTTATTTACTTTTTCTCAAAGCTACAGGAAACTTCCAAAGAGTGGCATCATATACCTTATTCCAGAAGGATGACTAGAAGATTATTGAAAGAAGGGAATGTTTCTCCAGTTTGAGAGTTATTTATGGACAAAGCACTAGTTCTCAAGCTGTACACCTACCCCCTCCACCGGCTTTGTTTTTTGAGACAGAGTCTCACTGTGTTGCCCAGGCTGGACTGTAATGGTGTGATCTTGGCTCACTGCAACCTCCACCTCCCAGCATCGAGAGATTTTCATGCCTCAGCCTCCTGAGCCTCCTGAGTAGCTGGGATTGCAGGTGTGCCAGTATGCCTAGCTAATTTTTGTATTTTTAGTAGAGATGGGGTTTTACCATGTAAAACTTCTGGCCTCAAGTGATCTGCCTGCCTTGGCCTCCCAAAGTGCTGGGATTATAGGCATGAGCCACACTGTGCCCAGCCCCTAATCACTTTTAGTATGCTGTTAGCTCTTGGGGATTATATCCTAAGTATTTTAAGGAAACCAATGAGACCAGAAAGGTTACCTTTTGATTGCCAAATGAGGCAGACTGTATTTCCAAGATGTTTGCAATAGTATCTTCTGTCTTACATGTTTGTCTACAATTTGACCTGGCTGCTGACCCATTAAAAGGTGAAATCTACCTCCCTTCCCTTGAATCTCAGTAGGCTCGTGACTGTTTGGACCAATGGAACACAACGAAAATGTGTTCTGAGGTTAGATCATAAAAGGTGATGCAACTTCCATCTTGCTCACCAATATACTCACACTTGGACATCTGAGCCACCACATAAAAAGCCTGACTACCCAGAGGCTAACACTGAAAGCCAAGCCACACAGAAAAGCCATATACTGGTGCTCCAGTTGGCTGTCCTTACCTTTGAATCATCCTATCTCAGGTACCAGGCATCAGTGAAGGAGGCTTCAGATGATTCTGGCCCTCAGCCATTGAGCCTGCGTTCCATCCAGTATCAGGGAGCAGAGAGAGGCCTCCCATGACACCCGGTCCAAATTCCTGACCCACAGAATCCATGAGCATCATGTGGTGGTTTTAAGCTGCCAAATTCTGGGGTACTTTGTTATATGGCAATAATAACTAGAATACCATGTTTCAACCTAACCCTGCCACCATCCTCTACCATTGGCTTTCAACAGTACATAGTACAAACTTTCATTCCATTTTGATTTAGGGACATATAGCAAATTCCCGTAGGCAGATGTTTGCCAAAATCATGTCCATTGCCAAGACCACAATCAGAAGTGCTAATGAAAAGGAACACATGTAGAATCCATGGGTCTAAGGCCATGGTTGAATATATTTGGCTAGAAACTGTAACATGTGCCCAAATAGTTGATACTGTTGCTATTTGGCATATTGTCTGGATTTTAATTTATGACTTTTATAATTAACCATGCTAATAAATAGTTGTATAGCTACTGACCCAAAAAGGAATTTCACCAATAACTATGGTCATTGAGACAAATCTGGTTTAACAAAATATAGCCAGTGCTGATGAAGATGGAAAGCCCAGTACTTTTTTTTTTTTTTTTTTTTTTTTTTTTTGACAGAGTCTGGCTCTGTCATTCAAGCTGGAGTGCAGTGGCATCATCTCAGCTCACTGCGACCTCTGCCGCCTGGGCTCAAGACATCCTCCCACCTTTAGCTTCCGCTGGGCCTACAGAAACACGCCACCATACGCAGCAAATATTTGCATTTTTTTGTAGAGATGGGGTTTCACCATGTTTCCAAGGCTGGTCTTGAACTCCTGGGCTCAAGTGATCTGCCCACCTCAGCCTTCCAAAGTGCTAGGAATACAGGTGTGAGCCACTGTGCCTGGCCCAATACTTTAATAAGGGATACAAGTCAGTATCTGTATCAGTTAACCAAATCATCTTTTTAAAGAGAATATATGGCTTAGGGGTTTAGGCTCTAGATAAATTCATGGAATCCAGTCACAAGCCAAGATGATTCACACTTCTAAACAGACACCCACACTTTCTGCACTCCTGACAGATGGGTTGCAAAAGATCAGTCCAAACATTTACATAAAAGAAAATTACTATTATTTCCCTGTAAACCAATACACTATTAGTCTGCACTACAGACCACATTCTTGCGATTTTTATTTTCTTCTGTCCCAGACCTTTCTTTTTTTATTTTCTTATTTCCAAACAGAACTCTGAGACAGTAATGAGAATTTTTGTTTCCATTCTTTTAATTTTTTTCTAATTTTAAGAAATCAACTTATTAAAGAACACTTTGTATTCACAGTAACCTGTGTCCAATTTAAGAGGATTTAAAAGAAAAAAAAATAGCATAAAGAGAAACAGAGCCAGGCATGGTGGCTCACTCCTGTAATTCCAGAACTTTGGGAGGCTGAGGCAAGAGGGTTGCTTGAGCCCAGGAGTTCAATACCAACCTGGGAAATGTAGGGAGACCTCATCTCTACAAAAAAAAAAAAAAAGAAAAAATACAAAAATTAGCCAGATGTGGTAGTGCATGCCTGTAGTCCCAGCTACTCAGGAGACTGAGATGGGAGGACTGCTTGAGCCCAGAATTTGAGGCTGTGGTGAGCAGTGACAGCACCACACCTGTACTCCAGCCTGGGCAACAGAGCTAGACCTTGTCTCAAAAAAAAAAAAAAAAAAAAAAAGTTGAGGCAGTGGGGTGGGGGAGATCCAGTTAGAGAATATTGTTTGTAGGGGAGCCACCCTAACCACCCACATATACCTTCACACTGTCCCCACAAAACCACCCTTCCCAGGGTACAATAGTCTTGTCAAATTACTTCAGTAATAAAGAAAGCAGCTCACAGGCTTTTAGAATCTTAAAGAGGAGAAAACGGAGGCTTTGATAAACAAAAATTAACCTTGTTAGGAACCTCGAACAAAAAGTCAAATATTCTATTTATTTATTTATTTATTTATTTAGAGACGGAGTCTTGCTCTGTCATCAGGCTGGAGTGCAGTGGCCCAATCTGGGCTCACTGCAACCTTTGTCAGTCGGGTTCAAGCGATTCCCCTGCCTTAGCCTCCGGAGTAGCTGGGACTACAGGTGCGCCACCATGCTGGGTTAATTTTTTTTTATGTTAGTAGAGACGGAGTTTCACCGTGGCCAGGATGGTCCCAATCTCTTGACCTCACCCAGCCTGGTGCAATCTTGGTTCACCGCAACCTCCGCCTGCCGGGCTCAAGCGATTCTCCTGCCTCAGCCTCCCATGAAGACGGGGATTACAGGCATGCGCCACCACGCCAGGCGAATTTTGTATTTTTAGTGGAGACAGGCTTTCTCCATGTGGGTCAGGCTGGTCTCGAACTCCCGAGCTTAGGTGATCCGCCCACCTCGGCCTCCCAAAGTGCTGGGATTACAGGCTAAATATTCTTTGTTAAGTGTTTTAAAATGAGCTCGAAATAACTGTTTTTTATTATAAGTCTAACCTCCTCTTTCCCATGTGAAAAGTAAACAAATATATATCTTTGCTAATCAAAGAAAGTGGGAAGAAAATACTGGCGCCAAAAAGAATGTTAAAAAATAAAAAGGCGATGATGACCTGGGGGTAATTGGGACTAGGGAGCAACACTGCCAGAATCCTATCCTATTTCATGGGAAAAGGAATGCCGTGGCTGGGCTCCGATACAGCAGTTATTCCTGCTGGTACCTAAGCAGTTCAGAGACTGCAGGGATACCACCCATCAACAAATTAAACCATCCCATTCCCCAGGCTTCCATATGTGGAGTTCTCCCCACCAGTGCGATAAAGGCAGGCCCTGGGAAAACAAAGCCCTAGACCACAACAAGGCAACACCCTCTCGCACCCCATTTTCGCGTTCCAGCCCGGCTCCTTTCAGCTACCCCGGGCCCGCTCTCCCGCCTGGCAGGGTATAACGCTCACACGAGTCTGCCATTCCCTCTGACGCAGGCTCGCAGCGCCTGCTCGCCAACCCGACTGCAGTGGGCTCTCTTGGGCCTCGACCCCCGCGGTGGAGACTAAAGGGTCCAGGCTCGTGTCCCACACAGGCAGCCGCCCTCGGGTCTCGGGTCAGTGTAGCCGAGATGGAGCCGCGCCCCCCAGCCGGGTCATCTCGTGCTAGTTCCTCAGTGCCCACCTGGCTGATTATAGTCTTTCCCCGCCCCCTCCCTCCCGCGCCTGCAGCCAACCTGGGGCCGGCCTTTCAGGATGACCGTCACGCCTCGACGCAGGGCTCCAGCGCCTCGGACTTTTCCTGGGCTCCCGGCTGCCACCTTGCTCTCTGCCACCTCCACCAGCGCTTGCCCCACTTGACACCGCCATCCCGGCCGCCGCACTGGGCACAATCCCCGCTGCCCATTGGCTGTTACCTAGGCAACCGCGAGCAACGCCACACTCTATTGGCCCAGCCCGTCTCCGCGCCATCTTTGTGCGGGGCGGAGTGTTTGAGAGCCCGGGCTGACTTTGTGAAAGAGGGATGGTCCCACCTCTGCAACCCAGATAAAGACAGAGGATCCAGGTCTGGCCTACCAGAGGCCGTCTAGTTGAAATGGCAACCCCAGAGAAAACCAAACCTGCGCCCGAAGCAACAGTGACCATCAACGGGAACGGCTCTGATCCTGCTCCAGTCCCCACTGCTGTCAAGGGCCCCGCCGCGGAGTTTAAGGCAGATTCTAAATTGAGCTTCAGAGAAGCAGCTTTGTAAATTGTAACGCGCTGGACAGAACAGCCTCCAATAACTCTGTGCCAGACATTGTGATATCGAGACACTTCTGCATTCATTATAGGAGTTTGTGCTGTGCTTGTCATTACCTAGATCCTTTGTGTTTAAAATATAGTAAGTACCTGGCCAGGCGCAGTGGCTCACATCTGTAATCCTAGCACTTTGGGAGGCCAAGGCAGGAGGATTGCTTGAGCCCAGGAGTTCCAGATCAGCCTGGGGAATAGAGGAGACTCCATATCTGCAGAAAAAAAAATTACCCACCCTGGTGGTGGGTGCCTGTAGTCCCAGCTACTCAGGAGGCTGAGGTGGGAGGATGCCTTGAGCCCAGCAGGATGAGGCTGCAGTAAGCCATGATCCTGCCACTGTACCCCAGTCTGGGCAACCTAGCAATCTCAAATAAATAAACACATAAATTGCAAACCAAAAAGTATCTGAGACAGGTCTCAATCAATTTAGAAGTTTATTTTGCCAATGTTAAGGATATGCCAGTGGCATGGCCTTAGAAGGTCCTAAGAACATGTGTCCAAAATAGTCGGGCTACTGTGTGGTTTTATACATTTTAGGGAGACATCAAACATCAATCAATACATGTAAAATATACATTGGGTTGGTCCCAAAAGGGGTTTGGGGATGGCAGGTTCCAGGCTGTAGGTGGATTCAAAGATGTCCTGATTGGCAATTGGTCGAAAGACTAAGACCTGGAACCCATAGAAGGGAATGTCTGGATTAAATTAAGGAGGTTGTTACTAAAATATGCACACACAAACACACACACAGAGTTGTGGAAACCAAGGTTTTTATTATGCAGAGAAGCCTCCAGGTAGCAGGCTTCAGAAAGCATAAAATGTCAATGTGTTATACTGGATCAAGCGTAGAAAGTTAGCACCAAGACAAGAGTATGCCAGATTGCAGGGTCATTTATTATGCTGGCGACCACAGAGGACTCACGTCTCTCCAAACTGCTGCGTCGAAAGGAGGGTGCCAAGACTTTTTATACCCAAAAAACCACCTTGGGAGTGGGGTTGAGGAGCGGGGATGGGGATGAAAAGGCTTCAGACATTCTGAGGGCTAGTGGATTCTGTAAATCATCTCCTGGGCGGAGATAAGGGCTCCGGATGTTCCAAGGGCCAGGGGACTCTTGTCATTCTATTTGTTACTTAAGTGTTTTACAGAAGTCAAGATAAACATTTATTTACACATTATCTGGGTAAGGTGGAAATCACAGACCTTAGTTACTTATTACAAGTCGCAGGGGCCAAGATGGCATTAGTTTGGGCTGCTTAGTCTGGCAATTGCCGGTAAGCAAAGGCTAGCAATTCTGGCAGTTACTGATAAGAAAACGAAAGCAGCTTTACATAGTGGCTAGTTTGCAGAGCAAACTAGCAGCTTTATTTACAGTAGCCAAGGCTAGCAGTTTATTGTGAGGAGAATGGGGCAGCTGTTACAACTTATTTTAAAAAACAGCTTTTTCTTTTATAAAATGATGTTGTTCAGGCTCTAACTCTAGGCCAGCTACAGCACAATATCACAAATATTTCTTTGTTTTTTGTTTTGTTTTGAGACAGGGTCTCCCTCTGTCACCTAGTCTGGAGTGGAGTAGCTGGATCATGGCTTACTGCAGCCTTGACCTCCCAGGCTCAAGCAATCCTCCCACCTCAGCCTCCTAAGTAGCTGAGACTACAGGTTCATTCCACTATGCCTGGCTTATTTTTGTATTTTTTATAGAGATGATGTTTCGTCATGTTGCCCAGGCTGGTATTGAACTCCTGGGCTCAAGTGATCCTCTCACTTCTGCCTCCCAAAGTGCTGGGATTACAGGCATGAGCCACCATACTTGGCCAGTGTATTTTACCAGATTTAAAAAGGTATCAGACTCTTAGTTCTCCCCTGGGTCAGGAAGAAGACCTGGAAAAGTCAGGGGATTTTCTACAGAATGTAGATTTTCACCACAAGACATCTTTGCCTGCTATCATGACAGATGGGGCCTGCTATCTGTCAATGTTGGTATTATTGCTACAAAGGGTCTGCTGTGTCAACCTTAAGGTCTCTGCTTTAATGTTAAATGCTGGTCCTGAGTTCCAAAAGGAGGAGAATATAATGAGGCATTCTGACTCCTACTTCTTATCATGGGCTCAACTAGTTTTTCAGGTTAATTTAGGAATGCCCTTGGGCTGAGAACAAGAGCCCATTCATTTGGTTGGGTGCTTAGAATTTTAGTTTTGGCTTACAAAATAAATAAATACATACATAAAATATAGTGCCAAGATTGGAGCAAATCCTCCCAAATACCATACACATCAATCTGTGTATCCATATGTTTACTTCTTAAACAATGTGAGTGCAGCATGACGCTAGGTTCTTTCAGGCTTGAAAAGCCATGATTGCTACTCTTATGGCATATGTAAGTAGCTGAATATGGTGGCAAGTGCCTGTTGTCCCAGCTACTCAGGAGGCTAAGGCAGGAGAATTGCTCGAGCCCGGGAGGTCAGGCTACAGTGAGCCATGACTGCACTGCTGCACTCAGCCTGGTTAACAGAGATGCTGTCTCAAAAACATACATACATACATACATACATAAAAAATGTAGTTTCTTGGCCAGGGGAATGACATACTAAAAGCAATATTTTATGAAAATTAATCTGGCAGTGACACTCAGAGATGATGAGTGAGATACTGGAAGTAGAGTAACAAACTCAGAAGTTATTGCAATAATGCAACTAAGACATCCTGAAAGTTTCATGTGACATCAGTGGAGATGAAAGAAAGGGGGTGAGGCCGGGCGTGGTGGCTCAAGCCTGTAATCCCAGCACTTTGGGAGGCCGAGGCGGGTGGATCACGAGGTCAAGAGATCGAGACCATCCTGGCCAACATGGTGAAACCCCGTCTCTACTAAAAATACAAAAAATTAGCTGGGCATGGTGGTACGTGCCTGTAATCCCAGCTACTCAGGAGGCTGAGGCAGGAGAATTGCCTGAACCCAGGAGGCGGAGGTTGTGGTGAGCCGAGATTGCGCCATTGCACTCCAGCCTGGGTAACATGAGTGAAACTCCGTCTCAAAAAAAAAAAAAAAAAAAAAAAAGAAAGGGGGTGAATATGAGACATATTTCACAGAGATATTTGTTAAGAATCAATCTAGTGTTAAGAGCATGGAAACAGTCTGCCTGGATTTGGATCCAGCTCTGCCATTTACCAGCTGAATGACCACAGGCACATTACCTTTACCTCCCTGGGCCTCAGTTTCCAACATCACAGGAGACTGTAAAGCTGGTTCCATGAGTTAATCCATGTAATGCACTTAAAACAATGTTTGCCATATATTTAGCATTTGGTAAATGTTAGCTCTTCACATGTCTTAGGGAATGTACTCACACTCTTTTCCACAAAAGGAAAATCAAGTTCTAAGAGGTAGATACAAAAATAGATTCTGCATTTTCTTTTTTTTTGAGATGGAGTCTCGCTCTGTCACCCAGGCTGGAGTGTAGTGGCGAGATGTTGCCTCACTGCAACCTCCGCCTCCCAGGTTCAAGTGATTCTCCTGCCTCAGCCTCCTGAATAGCTGGGATTACAGGCACGCGCCACCGCGCCTAGCTAATTTTTGTACTTTTAGTAGAGACAGGGTTTTACTCTCTCTACTAAAGAGACAGTCATGTTGGCCAGGCTGGTCTTGAACTCCTGACCTCATGTGATCCGCCTGCCTCAGCCTCCCAAAAGTGCTGGGATTACAGATGTGAGCCACCGCGCCCTGACTGAAAAAAAATTTTTTGTAAACAGAAGACTCTGAGGGGTGCTATAGAGAAAAAACTCAGAATTCCAGGGAGAACTCTAAATCTGGGATCTTTCCTTTATCATAATTTGAAGCTTATGGGCTAAATAGGAAGAATGATGTCAATTATCTATGTGGCTAGGGACCCTGGGACACAAGAACCGGCATCACTTGATTATTTGATGTTTAGAAAGGAAAAGGAACACTGCATGTCTTATAACTGAAAGGGGCAATTTAAATATCTGTATGGATGTTTATCTAGAGTGATTTATTTGGCCAAAAAAGCTTAAGACATTTCCATGCATATAATTAAACAATAGTGCTTTCAATTTGGTACTTCTAGTTAGCCATGGCAGTAATTTGATTCAAGAAAGAATGATTATGAAATATTGGTGACTATGTGGCCGGTCATCATTTGTGAAAACTCATACCTCTAGTCTGCTGGTGACTTTAAGCATAAAAACAAAAACAACATCAACAATAACATCAGCAGTGATTTTTTTCAAAAAGCTACCATATGTTGAGTGTTCTTTATGTACAAAACACGATGCTAAGTGCTTTACTTTTATTTTTATTTTTTTCCCATTGGAGAGTCTTGCTTTATATGCTAAGTGCTTTACATAATATTATATTGATTCTTGGTTCAGTAATCATGGGGATGATTATTCCCATTTTTTTTTTTTTTTTTGAGACGGAGTTTCACTCATGTTACCCA